ACTGACAAAATATATTTTAATTTTAATTAAAATAAATTTTATCAAAATAAATTTAAATGTAATTATTTTTTTGTAAATATAAGTACTTTTTTGTTATATTTGTTTAATTTTATAGATCTAAATACTTTTTGGTTCAAAAAATATTTAGGGACTTAATCGTTCGAAATATGAATATTCATTGAGGGGTTTTTCGGACTTTTGTCACTATTTTATCACTTTAACTAGTTGTACAAGTCATAAGAATCTATCTAACATATTTTAGAAAAGTCCAAGAAGTTAATTAAAATGTTTTGGATTGTCCAAGAACTTATTTGTTCCAAAAATTGTCCAATAAAAATAAATTTTATCATTAAATTATATTATCAATAAAAATAAATTTTATCAATAATTTTTTTAACTGTAAGTAATCTTTTGTAAATGTAAATACATTTTTGGTATATTTGTTTCATTTTATATTATAAGTATTTTTTTAGTTCAAAAAGCATGTTTAAGAATTTAATCATTCAAAATATGAAAGTTTATTGCATGTTTTTCATTATTTTACCACATTAACAAGTTGTATAAGTCATAAAAATGTATTTAACTGGTTTTAAAAAGTCTAAGGAGTTATTTAACAGGTTTTGAAATGTCCAAGGACTTATTTGTTTCAAAAAATTGTCCAACACTTAATCATTCAAAACACTAAAGTCTATTGGATTTTTTTAAACTTTTCCCTTTTTAAAATAGAGAAAGTTTAAAAAAAAACAAAATTCTCTAAATTTAAGAACTTCTTAAAAAATAATTATTGATAAAAGATAAATTATTTTTTATTCTTTCTACTATTTTAAAATTAAATACAAAGAAAAAAAAAATATTTTATATAAAAAATTAAATATCTATAATATATCAAAAAAGTTATGTCGAATTTTTTAAGAGATATATTTTATTATGCCAAAATGTACAATAGTTAAAGCTTGTTGAACATCCACGATCTTGAAAATCAAATTTTTTTAATTTTAAAATTACACTTTATGTTCTTATAGTTACTTATGTAATTGTATATAAACTAAAATGCATTAAAAATACGTTTATTTATTTTACAAATTATATCATTATAATTGTCTCGTCAATACCTTCAAAAAGAGACCAATATCGAATATTTTTTGATTTAATCGTATTATTAAATACCATAAATACGTAATGAATTGTTTTTAAACTTACATTTTATACTTTATAGTTATTTATTTAATTTATTTTATATCTCTTATTTTTTTCATTTTTAATTTTACACATTTATCTATATCTCTCCATAACCAACCACTCAGCACCATGTTTGAATTCGTGTAACTAACTGTGGATAAACATAACCAAATAAAGAATAAACATATCATTTTAAAACATAAAAAATCTAAAATATAATTAGGATAATTATCAAGTTTTAACAAAATAATTAATTATAATATTTATCATAAAATTATATTATTAAACAAAATATAAATTATTTCGTTATTGAACCTAAATTAAATTATAATAAAAAATTGAATTAAAAAATTACACAAAAAATATGAATTTTAAATAGTTAATTTGATACTAATATCGATATATTTATGTCAAATTTTTATGACATCTTCAAATTTATATTTTATTCAAAAATAAAAACATAATCGCTTTCTCAAAATCACATAAAATCATATTATAACATCGACTGAGGTAAATAATAAAATGAAATATTAAAATCAAGATTTACCTCGCTGCATTGCGCGAGTACTCTTTTAGTATTAAAAAAACAGGAGTTTCAATTATTCTTGAATTTTTAAGAGGTGCGACTAATTAAGAATATTGTATAAGTTTAAAGCTTACAACCTCACACGATCTTCCATCAAATCATTTTCAATTTCAAAATTACATTTTATACCCTTATAATCAGTGATTTGATTTACCTTATATCCCTCTCTTTTTCATTTACATCATTATCATATTAATATAAATAATTGTATATGAACTAAAATGCATTTAAAAAATACGACTCTTTTTTTTACAAATTACACCAATCGTCTCGTTAATACCTTCGAATTAAGCCTCATATTGAATATTTTTAGATTTAATAATACTATTAAATATCATGAATGCCTATGAATTAATTTGTTTTATATCAAATTTAGTATTTATTGTAAAATTTGATGTCATCCTAAGAAATGATCAAAACATAAGATCAGTGGCGGACTGTAGCCTAGCGGACCCAAAATTTTCTTTGAATTAGTGCATCTTTAAGGTGGGTGAAAGGTCCACACAATCACAATTTAACCTAGGGAGAAATTCAACACAGTCTGACTTAAGGAAAAATCAATTGTATCGATTTGAGAAATAAAGTACATTTTTTTTTCAAATGGCATCAACCTTGATCTTTAGAATAAATAAACGTTGACTTGAAAATGAGATAAAAAACGATGATTTTTTAAAATGAATTGACATTGGGAATGACATAAATCATGAAAACAAAATTAGAACCAGAGAAAAATTAACAAAAAGTTTTTTTTTTGGCCATAATAATAGTAATGCTTATTTTGATTCTTTTAACTAAATATTTTTGTTGTTAATATTTTCCGAAATAGCATTGCAAGGTCTGAGTTAATGCTTCAGTCTGGCCCTAGACCCCAAAAATAAAAGATAAAAAATTAACATTCATTTGAAATAAGATTCAAACCCATGACCTTTTACATATGAAATAGTAATCCAACCATCACACCCTTGTTCCGTATCTATTATATATATATATATATATATATATATATATATTGTTTCAAAGTATTTAAAGACACCCCCCAAGATCAAGTTGGTGCATCTTTCAGACGCCTAAATTTTTTTCTCTTGCAATAATCGAGTGAGCGGGTGCATGGGAGCCCGCTTAGCTCCTAATAGGTCCGCCCCTACATAGGATATAGTTTTTTTTAAAACTAAGTTAGAGTGAATACAACAACAAAATATAATCTCATTACCCTTAGACCTTTCAAGCCATTCATAATCTCGTTACCCTGTTATTCTGAAACGTTACAGACGTATATACATCTTCTTTTGTGTGTCGAGAGAGAAAAGATGAACTTGTTGTGAATGAAGGAATAAATTGTTCACAACTTTCCCCCTATTGCCATACTTTGTTTTCTCAAATGACAAATAAACGAGTAGGTATTCCAGTTATTTTCACAATAAGAGTGTAAAGGTAAAAAAACCATAAATGGTCATGAAAGTTATGGATAACTTAGCTTTCATTGCATTTGTACCCTTATTACTTGACATAATCTTGAAAAAACTTTCGTCTCTTTCATTAGCTAGTAAGGTGCTCGCGCGACGGCGTGATGACAGATGTTAGTTGTATACTTGTACAATGTATCTGATAAATTTTGAATAGATGTAAGTAACGATACCTAATATAGGTTTGTATACCTGATTTTTTCCTACAATAACCATTATTCATGCTTGTTAATATATTATATATATATATAGATAGTATAGACTAGTATGTATTTATGTTATTTTATAATATTATAAAATACATAAATATTCAATAATGAGCTTATTTTAAAGATATAGACGAAAAATTATTACATATTTTAATGTATTTTAGTTGATCTATGGTCTTAATATCCTGAAGGTGTAAAAATAAAGCGTAATGATTTGAAACAAATTAATTCGTAAATATTCATGATATTTAATAGTACAATTAAATCCAAAAGTGTTTAATATTGAGTTCATTTTGAAGATATTGATACAACGGTTATAAGAATATAATTTGTAAAAAAAAATGTATTTTTAAGTGTTTTTTGTTTATATATAATTATTTATGTTAATATGATAAAAGATGTAAAATGAAAAATTACAAAATTAGATTGACGTGAATTAGTCTCACCTTTTGGACTAAAAACGTTGAGAATAAATATATATTTTGGATGCGAATTAAATTTGTAAATTATAAAATTGAACCATAACGAAGTTGGAATAATAATAGTCTAGGGGCCAAAGTTGGCAAACTACAATACTTGAGGCACTTGAATGAAAAAACAAATCCACATCTTGTATGCCTGTTGTGAACGAACACCCGGCGAGTAGAGCAGATCGGACGGAGACAATGGCGGGTCTTAGAACCCTAGATTTTATGACGACGCCGTTTTACTTGCGTTCTTCTAGACTAGCTCCATTTAGTCTTCACCCATCCTTGTTGCTTCAAGTCAAGAACAAATTCCACTCTCTTCGTTCTCATCACTCCTTTCGCTCCTCTCTCCCTTGTTCCTTGTGTATACTCTCTCTCTCTCTCTCTCTCTCTCTTCATAGTTCCTTTGATAAATTGGGCTTTTATTTGATTTCAAACGATCTTGAGAAGTGATTCATGGTTCCAATGAGGATCACAGGTCACAAGTCTTGATGAATTGCAAGCGACATTTATCATTCTGTGTATTTTGCAGCTAAAAATTCAACCGGTGAGTCTTTGGTTGATGGAATTGGTGTGGCGGGAAGCAAAGCGTCGGAGGGTAAACTTCTTCAAGTCGTTTTGGTTTCTCCTCAGGTAAATTCAATGTATTTCTATTGCTTAAGTTTCAACCGGAACAGCACCGAAAATAAGCATTTCTTGCCCAGCTGAGGTGGTTGGAGTTCACTCGGATAACCCCATTGCCTTTGTGAATTACCGAAGATGTTCTTAAAATTCTAGGATTAACAGTTCACTCTATTTTACCATCTGATTCCACCTTCCGAAATTTGCCAGAATTAAGGGTAGATGTACTTGGGGCCGATTTGGTTTGACGGAATGACATTTCATTTTTTGTAAAATTTTGTTTGTTTCGATAAGATGCTGAGGCGATGGAGAGATTAGGGCAGATTTGATGAATGAGGCAGGGTAGAGATGCAGATGGAAATAATTGAAATCCATGGGATTTGGATTTGAAATGGCAAGCCATCTCCAAGAGATTTCTAAATCGGTTGGTTGTGGGATTTCAATGAAATACTGAGATTTTAAATCCAAACATTCCTTCAAACCAAACCAGAGGGAGGGGGCAGAGTTTTACCTTTGTGACATTGCATGTTGTTCTACAACCTCTATTTATTTTTGGTAGAGTAAATTTGCACAAATTGGACTCTATGCTGTATAAATTTGACACTCTACCAGCCCCAGTAAAATTGAAAGTAGCAGCATTTACATTTTTGTAATTTTCTTATTTTAGAGTTACATATTTCCCATGATGATATTGGTCTGGGTCACAAGATTTCTCTAAATATCCACGGAATTGGAAGCGTATACAAGGCAAATGCTTTGTCACAATTCCTTTAGGGTGTATTTGGTACGTGGGAGGCGGACAGAACGGGAATTGACCATACAAAATCATCCTTTAGGGTGTATTTGGTAATTTTTTAGGCATTCTTCAAATGATTGCTGAGTTTGACCCTATCATGCAACACCATTTTCATTTGATTAAAGAAAAAGAAACTCAACATTGTTATCTTATTCATAAAATTCAAAATGAGTTGATTTAGATGTTGGCATTCAATGTGAAAAGTGCAATTATTGCAAAAATCAAGGAGTCAAAATATTTTTCAGTTATTCTTGATTGCACTCCTGATGCAAGTCATAAAGAATAGATGACTTTGATTATAAGATGTGTCGAGTGTTCCTATCAAAGTAGAAGAGTTCTTTTTGGAGTTTTTGGTAGTAGAAGATACGTCTGGTAAGGGTCTTTTTGATGTGCTACAGATGTTTTGAAAACCCTTGATTTAGATATTAATTGTGTATGGGGACAAGGTTATGATGATGGGGTTAATATGAAAGGAAAGCATCAAGGTGTTCAAAAAAGGTTGCTTGATATAAACCCTAGAGCTTTTTATATGCCATGTGGATGTCATTATCTTAATTTAGTTTTGTGTGATATGGCAAACTCGTCATAAAGTTGGTGGAGTGTTTTACTTGAATATCTTGATGATTTGACTTTGAAGTCCTTATCTGCTACTCGTTGGGAAAGCAATAAAAACTCCACTTGACCATATAAAAAATGCTTTGATAAAATTAGCCAATGTATGCGAAGACGGAAAAGTGTGTGGAGATGTTGAATCTTTGATAAATGGTGATTTTGAATTTATTTCAAGTTTGGTTATTTGACATGAGATCTTATATAGAATCAATTTAGTTAGTCAAAAGATATGCTTCTAGATATTGCGGTAAAAAACTTGGAAGGATTGGTTGTTTATTTTGAAGGTATAGGGACAATGGGTTTGACTTAGCTATTATTGAAGCTAAAGAAATTTCAGAAAACATTGGAGTTGAACCCGAATTTTCTGTAAAACGTTATGTTTGTAGACAAAAGCAATTTGATGAGATCCCAAATACTGAAAGACAACAACAATCTTCCCAAGAATCATTTAAAACTGATTACTTTCTAGTTTTAGTGGATATGACACTTTCTCAGTTAAGAAGTAGATTTGAACAAATGAAACATTTTGAGTTTATATTTGGGTTCTTGTTTGATGCTTTAAAGTTGGTTAAATTGAAAGATGATGAATTAAAGAAATGTTGTTTGAATCTTGAGATTGCTTTGACACACATGGCGATGATGTTGATATTGATGGGAAATATCTTTATACGGAGTTACAAATTTTGCACGACATGATATCATATGAAGCATACGGGGAAGAAAAGCCTTGGACGTCTATTCAAGTTATGGAGTTTGTGCGAAAGGTGGATATGTTCCTACACGTGTTGCTTGCCTACAAGATTTTGTTAACCATACTAGTCATGGTAGCATCCGCCGAAAGAAGTTTTTCAAAATTAAAGCTATTGAAGTCATATTTGTGGACTACCATGAGCCAGGAGAGGCTTAACGGGTTAACAATTTTGAGCATTGAAAGTCAGTTTTTAGCAATGGTTGACTATGATAGATTAATTGAAGATTTTGCTTCACAAAGTGCACAAAGACACCGTTTTAGATGAATAGGTAATCTTATATTTGTTTGTTGTTCGGGGTTTTGGTTTATGTCCCCTGTTATAATTTTTTTTCCACTAATAACCGGCATGGGGATGAGCCGCCTAGTTTGACTAGGTTCCAAATGTCTTCTTGAGTTCTTGCTTAATTGGAGTAAGGGCATCTTTTTGGCTCTCTGCCCAGGGCATCCAAAGCCATTGGACTAGTGCTAATTGTTTATTGTTGCGCTGAGGATGAAGATTGCGAACCTTTAGTAAGTTCCGATTTAGGAACTTTGCCGCTTTCTATTTCACGACCAAAACTCTTTGATGCAAATGAACCCATTTGCAGAAAGAACACTTAGATACACACTTATAATTTGAGAGAGAAAACAATCACTTGAGAAAGAAACTTCTATTCAATAATGGGAAATTGTATACACACAGTAACGTGGAAGCCGATTTTATGTATATAAACATGATGAATCGGCGCCAATACAAGGGACATGTCTGTTGGCATGGGATGCCATAACCGAAGCTGGTAACCTCCTAAAACTACCTGGCGGTTATTTACATAATGAGGTGTCACATTCTCTTTAATTTAGCCTAATTTAATATAAACCTTATACTAAAATAATAATATGAAGTTTTGACATTTAAATAATTCCAACAATCTCCCTCCTAAATGTCAAAACGTCTTCAAGCAACTTTAATATTGAATCTTCACAGTATGATCACAAAATCCTCACCTTCAGCTAAATCATCGCTCGGGTCCTTGTCTCCCTCCGAATAGTAGCCATTAATGCTCGGGTCTTCGTCTTCTGCCTGCACACTTTTTGATACCTTGCTGTCCTTGAGTTGAACTGATGTCTTAGTGGCGTTCCGGTCTTCCTGACCATTCTCTCTGGTGCATCTACCATCCGAGGTACCTATACCATCGTCAACCTGACAACCCTTTGTGTCTTGAGTCCTGTCGGGCACACTCCCGTACTTCTGACTCTCAATGCTCGTGTACTTTCCGTACCATTTCTGAGCAAAAACAAAGTATTCGTGTGGGTGCAGAAGATAATCTATAAACAATCTGTTGAATGCCTCACCATAACATTCCGGAAAACCAAAGCTCTCTTGCGATCTCGTTTCAAAGTCCATTTACGGTGATGATTTCGTGTCCTCCATGACCTATGATTGATATGTAAAGATCGAATAGACACACTTCCAATCCCGATACCTTTGGTGGCACAATGATTTCTTCATTGTCCTTGATCTTAAAAAACCATATGAATGCTTCGCTAAATTTCCTTTCGAAAAATTGCTTATTTGCATAAGCAATTCGGTCACACTTGACCAAAGTCATGAAAGTGGTAAAGTCGTCGAGAGTTTTAATATGTACAGGCACAAAACTCCTACGAATCTCGATTTTTCCTTCCTCGATCATTGGCTTCTTCCCTTTGTCACATATCTTCGAATCCGTACTCACGAATTCCTTCTTTTCTCTCGTTTCTTTCTTGGAACCGTCACACATGTGAGTGATTTTGCACTTCAAATCACTCCCACTTAGAAACCTTGGAGTATAAGTTGCTTCATACTCAGAACGTTGATATTAACTTCCGGTACGAATGATTCGTAAGGTATGACATACGTTCTTTCGTTCGTATTCAAACTTATTTCACCGATACCATGCACATATATAGGATCGAAGTGACGTTCTTCATCATTGATGAAGAGACACTTCTTAAAATTATCGAACATCTCCTTTTTAGGAGACGTGTTTCGAGATTTTAGTATTTACGTACCAAATTGTGTTCCAAGATCTCGTATCCGTACCTACGACCAAGTAGTCTCCATTTACGACGATTCTTTCGGTGTGCGTCTGTTGGTAGGGCAGCAGACCAAAAATTCGAGGAATCTGATTGTTGCTGCTTGTTCCGGCTTCTGCCGTATGTAGCATCGACTGTTTCTGCATCGAACGCGTCATCTTCCTCGGGTAGTCCCAGGCAAAATGCCCCTTCAACATGCATCGATAGCATGTTGGTTTCTTTGTTCTTGTCTCACTCCTTTCACGACTGTTGTTCGGGTTGCATCGCAACTTCGCCGTTTTCTCGTTTCCATGGACTCGTGCACGTGTTTCGCGAAGTTGTTGAAGAATCCTCATCGACTTCCTCCTTGTTTGTTCTTGCTTCCGTTTTTTATCCAACCGTTGGCTCTGATACCACTGTTGCGCTGAGGATGAAGATTGCGAACCTTTAGTAAGTTCCGATTTAGGAACTTTGCCGCTTTCTATTTCACGACCAAAACTCTTTGATGCAGATGAACCCATTTGCAGAAAGAACACTTAGATACACACACTTATAATTTGAGAGAGAAAACAATCACTTGAGAAAGAAACTTCTATTCAATAATGGGAAATTGTATACACAGTAACATGGAAGCCGATTTTATGTATATAAACATGATGAATCGGCGCCAATACAAGGGACATGTCTGTTGGCATGGGATGCCATAATCGACGCCGGTAACCTCCTAAAACTACCCGGCGGTTATTTACATAATGAGGTGTCACATCCTCTTTAATTTAGCCTAATTTAATATAAACCTTATACTAAAATAATAATATAAAGTTTGACATTTAAATAATTCCAAATGTTGGATCGATATGAAGTTTTTGCTCCAGTAGCACAAATAGAGACAATACAATTAATATTGGCTCTAGCAGGATACAATAGATGGGAAGTACATCATCTGGATGTAAAATCAGCATTTCTGCAAGGCGAACTGAAGGAAGAAGTTTATGTCTCACAACCTGAAGGTTTTATAAAAGAAGGAGACAAAGGAAAGGTCTACAGACTCATGAAAGCACTTTATGGGTTAAGACAAGCTCCTCGAGCATGGTACACCAAGTTGGATAACACACTGAAGATACTCGGTTTCAAGAAATGTGCATTAGAACAAGCAGTGTACACAAGAACGAACAAGACATCAACACTATTGATTGGAGTTTATGTTGACGACTTGATAGTTACTGGAACTTCAAAGAAAGAGATTGAAACTTTCAAGGATCAGATGAAGAAGAAGTTCGAAATGAGTGATCTTGGATTACTTGCGTATTATCTTGGTATTGAGGTTACACAGAAAGGGGGTGAAATCTCAATAAAACAAACTAGTTACACAAACAAGATACTCAGTGACATAGGTATGTTAGATTGCAATGAAGCAAAGATACCTATGGAACCAGGTCTCAAACTTACTAAAGTAAAGGAAGAAAGACCCGTAGACGCCACCGAATATCGAAGCCTAATTGGATGTCTACGATATTTACTTCACACAAGACCTGACCTAAGTTTTCTAGTAGGATTACTTAGTCGTTTCATGCAAAACCCACAGGAGCAGCATATGAAGGCAATCAAACAAGTGCTGCGTTATATCAAAGGAACTAAGGACTATGATATAACTTATGGGCATGAAGGAGGAAACAAGATACACGACTACAGCGACAGCAGTTATGGTGTTAACACACAAGAAGGAAAAGACACAACTGGAATAATTTTCTATTTCGGAAACTCACCTATCAGTTGGAACACTCAAAAGCAAGGAACAATGGCATTATCCTCGTGTGAATCAGAGTTCATTGCAGCAACAGCAGCAGCAACTCAGGCACTTTGGTTAAAAAGACTGCTTAGCATATCACCGATACTAAGGAAGAAAAGGTTACTATTTATGTGGACAACAAATCTGCAATAGCACTGATGAAGAATCCAGTGTTTCATGGAAGAAGCAAACACATTGATACAAAGTATCACTTCATACGACAATGCGTTGAAAAAGAAGACCTAGTTATTGAACACATCAAGGGAAAACTACAACGAGCTGACATTCTAACAAAGCCACTTCCAAGGATAAGATTCGCCACTATGAGGCAACTACTTGGAGTTAAAGATCTTGTTCAACACAATCGAGATTAAGGGGGTGAATGTTAGATTAATCTCGATTTAAAATAGTATATATGTATATATATATATATAGGTAGTTATTGGTAGTTATTAACGAAGAGGTGCGATTGTTCACGAAAGGATGTGATTGTTCATGAAACAACACTTTCATTGCCGAACCATTGCGATGGTTCGATGGCACCTTTTCGGTGTCTATAAGTATGTATGATTTGTACACATTTCAAAGTGTGAATTCTCAAAATTATCAATAAACTTTGGTTGTTTTAGCATATCGATCCAACATTTATTTGCTTTCCTAGTTTTTGGGGGGGGGGGACCAGTATATATTAAAGTTAAGAGGTGATTAAGGGTGTGTGGGAATTCGATAATTTATTTTTTTCACTGGGAGAAGCTGGTCTAAAAAACCAGTAACCTGTAATTCCTTCTTGGATTGATCATTCTAATACCAAACCCTACCATTCAGTTGAGTTCTCATCTTTCATCAGCTACCTCACTCTTGTCCGTTCTTTTCCATATACCAACCGCGTCCTTAAAGCCATTTGGGGGTTAGAATGTTGGAAGTTTTATTGGACCGGTAGAATAAAATATATGTAGTTTAGTGTATGTGTCCATTTGAAAAGATAGATGTAGATCTTTTTGTTTGCTATGCACAACTCCAAAAAGGAGATGCATTTTGAGTGTCAAGTTACTCCTTGCAGAGCGTATAACGAAACCAAATCAAATGTACCTAGTAAAATCACACACGGAACAGGGTCTTGGGAGAGTAAAATGTATGCAGACTTTTCCTCTACCTCATGGTAGAGGCCGTTTCTCAAAAAAGAAATTTTCTTTTACGAAAACGGTTTTGCCAAATAATTTGGGAACATAAACGACCCCAGAAGTATGCACAACAAGAAATGAAGTTTAGAAGGATTACAGAGAGTAAGCAAACAACATGTAATTTCCTATTAAATTTTGGACATTGAGAAGTTCAACATAGTATGGCCTTTGTATCTGGAAACATGTTCCAAATTTTAAGTCGAGCATTGAAATTTAAAAATAGATCATTATATTTTATTCAATGACTTTGATCGTTTACTTCTCCACACGTCTTAAGTCTGGTCAAGTTATTTCTCCAAGTTCATAGGCATATACATTCTAGTGATTGTTGTAGCTGTTTCTGAAATTTCTATGATCCGCTGCAGATTCCTGGGAACACTGGGTGCATTGCTAGAAGTTGTGCGGCATCAGGTGTTGGCTTACACCTGGTTGAGGCAAGCATATGTTAACTTTTCATTCTAAATAAGAAAATTTCTATATAATAGAAGTTAATTATGTGTGAAATTGGATCAACATAAGATAGTTTTATGTACTTAATTATTGATTTGATCCTTAAAATGTAGAACAAAGACCTATGAGCTTTGATCAATTGTGTATTTTTTGGTGTCTTATCTATGATCCATCAGCTTAACCGTTGCCAACTTCTTTCTCCTTCAGCCGCTGGGATTCGAGGTGGATGATACAAAACTAAAGCGAGCTGGGCTTGACTACTGGCCGTATCCTTGTACATATATGGACCGATAAACATCACAGCCGTTTTAAATCGAAACGTTCTTCATAAAGGGTTTAGGGTTTAAGTTTATTTCGGTACTAGTGCTTATGCAAACTGATGAATTCACTTCAGAATATGGAATCTACACTTGTTTAGTTCTCCCCTTGATCTTCACATCAGATACGTCGTCGTTAAAGTACACAGCTCGTGGACAGATTTTCGTGACTATTTCAAGCAACAGGTGCTTCAAAACCTTAAGCTTTTGTTAAACCTTATTCTCGTATAACCTATTCATGACTTTGATTATATATAATGTTCAGAAGGGTGAAAAAAGGCTGCTGGCATTTACTAAAAGAGGGACAAACATTCATTCAGTACGTCACCTGGACTCGTTACATTTTTCTAATAATCATCTTTACGCTTTCCATCATAAAGTAAACCTACACCTGCATCATTAATATCTTCACTCGACTGCTCTGCATTATAGTCATAGATGAAACGAGGATAATGCCCATTTGAGCCCAACCATCCTGAATTTTCGTTATGACCTTTAACGTCTTGAAATTACTTTTTGATCCACACAAGAAGTTATTATAGGTTTATTTACACCGTGTACCATTTTCATTTTTTATGGGTCTGCTCGTGTAAAACTAAGAAGTTATTATAGGCTTATTTACTTGATATATGGAGAAGTTAGGATGAGACCTGTAAAATGAAAAATGAAGGAAAATGGTATAAATGGATGACATCTTTTCTTATTATTTTGGCTTTAAATGTACTATGGAATATCCTACATATGTGATCATAGTTCTACTGAAAACAATAATTAGGGTAGGGTTTTGGAAAGTTCAGTTGCAAACCTGATTTCCGGTTATGAACCGGGTGACGAATGAGAGCGTGACACTTGTCCCCATTCAGTGAATAATGACTGGATTTTTTAAACCATTCATGATGAATATCCCATGAATGTTCGAGACACATGGCGACCTCTTGTTTGTCTCCCGGTTCGCAACGGAAGTCAGGTTAACAACAGAACCTGCCGCGGTCGGGTATAACATACATGTTTCCATGCCTTACTTGACTTTTTATGGCAAATAGATTATATTTCTCAAAAATGGGAAGAGAAGCCGAAAACATGTACCTATTTTGATCAGTAATATACTGATGTTGTAACATTGGAGAACATGTATGTCGAGTTGACAATTGTGTTGTAAATCTGTTTATACGGATTACGAGTCAGATTATAGTTTATTATTATTTTTCATTAAAAACTTGCGATATTTAATTTCACTTTTTAAAGGCTGAAAAACAGTTTGCGCTTGAGTTGTGACCATGGGGGGACCTAGTTAGGTGCCATGGGTGGCACATGCCACCGTATCGTTTCTCCGCCGAAGGGTAAAAAATTTAGGTTTCGTGAACGGTGCAACCGTATTAATTTGTTGTGTGCTACCGTATGTATTTTGAAACTACAATGAGAACAAGTTTTATTTGGTAAAGTTGGTTTGCAAGGCTTTTATTCCACCTCACACCCAAGTACGAATCATGTTAGTGTCATTTTTTTAGTCAAACGGTGCTACCATTTGAAACAAATTATGTATATTTGTTTCTTATAGTCAAACGGTGCCACCGTTTGAAAAAAAATTATGTATATTTGTTTCTTATAGTCAAACGGAGTCACCGTTTGAAAAAAAAATTCGATATTTTTTTCTTATGGTCAAATGGTGCTACCGTTTAAAAAAAATTCTGGGTCCGTCTCTGGTTGTGACCATCCTTGCATTAGTTATGGTGTTGGTTGTTATGAACTCAAGTTTGGATGCATGCAGGACTTTTCGTACAGGAGAGGGGACTGGCTTGTATTCGGCTCGGAAACCACTGGCCTACCACCTGAAGCTTTGGCTGACTGCAAAAGCGAACCACTTGGTGGCGGGTTACTTAAAATTCCGATGATCGAAACTTATGTAAGATGTCTAAATCTATCTGTTAGTGTTGGCATTGGTCTGTATGAAGCTTCGAGACAGCTAAACTACGAGCAACTTCAATTCCATACTGAATCCTGTAACGATACCGAACTATTACCTTTCGCTGAAGACATTTTTGCTTAAATTCATGAAATTTGCATAACGGGTTTGGATGATCGGTAACCGTAACCGGTCTCACCTTTAACAATTCATTTTATAGCCGCTTTTTTTATATTAATCGAAATGGGTAATATTTCACAAGTAGTACTTTGACATTTGTGGAATTTACTTTTTTTTTTTAAATATAATATTCATAAAATGGTAGTTGTTAAAGTGCTACTTGCAAAAAATCTCACATGGAAGTCACTTTTTGGTTGTCATGTCAACATTTTGCAAGTAATATTTTTGCAACTTGCTAAATTGGTATTTTATGAATATTAAGTAGATAGAAAATAGATTTTGCAAATTTGAATGACACATTAGAAGTTAAAATGTATTAAAAAAATAGCCTAAGGGGCCGTTTACCAAACGTTACTCTAGTAAATGCTTACCAAGTTACATTACCTTATGGGATGAATATGATAAGAACTAAGAATCTTACCCGGTAAGAATGAAACAAGGACCAAGTATCTTACACGGTAAGCGCTTATTGGGTAAATTGTTGCATACGATGCCATTTTTGTGAATTAAAATCTTACTCGGTAAGTAAATGATAGTGTTAAATTTTACCGGTAAGCGCTTACCGGGTAATTGTTTGGTAAACGACCCCTAAGAATGTCTCTTATTTGTATGACTTGTGGTTACTAATGTTGTCACATCTTCTTGATTTTTGTTCCGCTTAACAAAAAATGCATTTGTCTGCTCAATCATGTCTTGTCGTAGTCTGATATTGTATGAAACATGGGATAACAAGTTCTCTTATCTTGTCTTCAAACGCACTCTTAGGCATTGGACTCCTTGCGGACACGATCGGCCCTTACATAGAGCTACGTGGGCCATAGAAAATAGTTGTCAGTTGAAAATTGGTTTGCATTTAGTTGAAAATGTTTTATGATCAAATGGTATAGTGAATCTATCCTTTTGGTTGCTATTTGATCTCTTTAGCTCTCAAGGGTGTGGTGCATCTATACCTTTATTATATGTTTACATATTTAGTTAACGACTCACCAGAAAGAGGACACGTGTCACTACAGTTACTTATTTATTATATGTATAGATTAATGACCATGATCAAAAAGTAAGAAAGCAACTCAAATTGTGTACAAATCCCATGATGGTTTGAAACAATTGTTGCTTCTGATTGTATGTTTGTGGGTTACTCCACTCTTATCTAATTGATTAATAATTGTTGCTTCTGATTGTACGCTTGATATTTCTCAACTTGGACAAGACATCACTTTTAATTATATTTTCTCTACACAATTTACCTGTTTACTTGTATTAAACTCTAATTATAGACGTTGGTAACCACAAGGATGGTGACTGATTGGTTTGAGTTTGGCTCCGAAGGTCAAAAGTACCAGAAGGTCACAGGTTCAAATCCAAGAAGGAATAAAAATCCCCTTGTGGCACAGAGGTTTAAATGCGGTGACTCCAAGCTATCTGCAAAGCAGATGGTCGCCCTAGGATTAGTCGGCTCACATAGCGGGTTGGATATCCAAATTAATAAAAAAAAAAAAAAATTATAGACGTTGGTTGAATTATAAAGTTACTTTTCTACATGTGGTTCATTCCTTTTAACATTGTGTTGGCTACCATATCTAGCTCGCTTATATGGTTATTGGTTGCATGCATTGTCATCCAATATACTCCTACTTTAAGTTTACCATTGTTCAAATTGGCATCGGTAAATTTCTCTATTTCTCACTGATTTTTCATGTATTAATGTTTGAGTTCCCTCAACTGTCAGAAAATGTTGTACTCTTTGGGATAGAGGTCAAGTCTGGCATAGATCTCCCCAACCTTTGGATGTTACATACTGGTTTTTTTATGTTATATACATTAACTTTGATCATCCTGGAGTGGGGATGAGCTGCCTAGCTTGATTAGGTTCAAAATCCCTTTAAATTTTGTGTGTTCTTTATTTGGATTGGAGGCATATTTTTTACTCTTCCTTCAAGGCATCCAAAACCATAGGAGTAACCCTGCTTGGACATGGTACTCTTAGATAACATTTTGTACGCATATATGATTGGACAAGATAGAACAGGGCAAAAGGGTAGGACTGGACAAAACAAGTATATGTCTGGTATTTGGTACGATTAGGACTTGACAGGACAAAAACTAGACAAGTTGTCCCTAAAAGTTATTTGATGGATTTAAATATTATATAATGGTTATAATAACATATATAAAGTAAATAATTCAAAAATATTTTTACACAATTTTCATATATATAGATACATACATATATAATAGTACCAAATTTGAATGAAAAATTTGGTATAATTGATGGTAGTAGTGGTAAAGGTCGAGGTGAAGGTGAAGGTGGTGTTGCCTATGGTAGAGGTATCGGTGGCCAACGGTAGTAGTGGAGGTGGGGCGGTGGTGGCTGTGGAGGTAAAGGCAGTGGTGGTTGGTGGACAACGATGGTTGTGGAGGACATGAATATAGTGGATTGTGGTGGTGACGACGATCAACAATGGTGGAGGAGGTAGTTGTGGCCGTTGTAGTGGTGGTAGCAACGAACGATGGTGGTCGGTGGTTGATAATGGTTGTAGAGGTGGCAATAGATAGTGGTGGTTGGTGGTTGTTGAGGTGGCAATAGATAGTGGTGGTTGGTGGTTGTTGAGGTGGTGAAGGAGGTTGTTGCAATAAAAGAGGAGTTAGAGTTGGCCAACGTTAGTGGTGGCGGCAATGGACGGTGGTGATGGGTGGCCGACGGTGGTAGAGATGGACGGTGGTGGTCCGTGTTTGTATAGGTGGTGAAGGATGTTGTTGTAATGGAAGAAAAGGTGGAGGTGGCTGACGGTGGCTACCGGTGATCGCCGACGATGGTGGTGGCAGCCACGACTAGCAGTGATGACCATTAAAACAACTACCATATTAAAGTTATATATTAAACTAGAGTAGATTAGTAACATTTTAGTTTATTTCTTATTCTTGTCCCATCATATTCCACCAATTTTGGTGGAACAAGAAAAAACCTCTTTTGTTCTATGTTATCCCACCTTGTCTCAATTCTTGTCCTTGTCTCATGTCGCACCAAATACAGGACATTGAGTTCTTATTTTGTCTCATATCATATCAAACGTCGGACAATAAATTTTATCACATTTTATTTTGTCCCGTTTCGTCCCATGTAACAAACGAACAGTTCATTGTATAAATTATAATTCTTTCACATGATAGCTTTTGAAACAAACAGGTTACTGATCAGAAACCAGTTTGCAGGAACTTGTACTTACAAATTTATTAAAATCCAATGATTTTCTATTATTTAAATTAAAATAATAAATGCAAGAACGGTGACAGTTGCCACCGACCCTTCCACATTCATTGTGGAATAAAAACAATAACTTAATCTATTTCAATTATGTTATGTTAATTGCATGCTACCCAACACACAATTGAATAAAAAATCAATACATTTTTATTTCAAGATAACACTTTTAAATACATTATTAAAAATCTATAATTTGATAATTCTTAAATTTATATGTTTCTGCTGTAAAATATAAGACGTGTATTTTACAGCAAAAACATATGAATTTGACGTAATGACACGATATAAAAACTTGTTTTTCTCATGTTTGACGTAACCTTCGTTTAAAATATAACAAGACGTGAGTAGGACAAAAATACATTTTTCCATCATACTAAAATATGTGGAACAAAAATCAAGAGATGAGATAAGAATGATAAATTACTAAACTACTCATGTGAAATTAAAATTCTAAAATCTTCTATGATTCTTTCATACCTTATTGATGGGTTATCCTCTCTATTGTCGTCCTACCAAACTCCCTTTGATATGCCTTCTATAATATATTTCCTAAAATATGAATCAGATAAAAATACGTTAATATTTATACAACTTACTGCTTATAATATTTGTGTTGAAAGGTCATGTGATAATAAGAGTTATGGTAAAAACCATAATAAGGGATCTGGACCCTTGATTACTTTTAATCTCATCTCACCTCATGAATTGTGTTTGATACTGGAATTGATCTTATGCATCTCATTAGTGTTGATTTTCAATTGGGATTGATCCAAAAGTGGAAATCCCTTCTTACCATTCTCACCATAACTTCCCGTCTCATCGGAACTCAACCCTCGATATGATTATATGGAACTTATTAATCCCTCTGTCCCAATTAAGTGTTCATGTTACTATTTTATTTTGTACTAAAATAAGTATCCACTTTCAAAATTAAGTTTTTAGTTTTCATTATACCATCAATTATGAGATGGAGAAAGTTTCTCTACTATCAACAATAAAATGTCGCTTAGTTTTAAAAAAAATTGATAATTACACATTTTAAAATTATGTACTGTTGTCATGGCAGACATTTATTTAAAAAAAAATGAAGTATATTTATCTACAAAATATTATGTAAATATCAATATTTATCAGAAAATAATTATGGATAATTTTAATTTTCTACAATAAATACAAATATATCATATAATTAATTTTTTAAGAGAATTAGAAAAGCAGCATAAAATGGACAAAAATGTCCTTACAACTAACGGAGAAAAGTAACGGAGTTTATAACAGAGGACCATTTTCGGAACAAATTGAGAATAATGAGAACCAAAGTTGAAGTTATTGAAATTTAGGCCTCATTTCAAAGACCAAAATTAAAGTTTACTAAAAAAATTATTTTAAACAATCACGTTACTTAACAGATATATCCGACAAAGCGGTTATGACAAAACAAATACGATTCCTATTAAATGGGCGGATATTTGTTTTCATATGGAATGTGGTTGGTACACGTGTCCTGTTTTTGGCTCAAATCTGTCTACCCCACAACTTCAATGTGTCCTAGGCTGCCCATGTGTTATTTCTTAACTTTGCCGCTAACCCTTTTTGAATATTAAAAAAATAAAAAATTCAAATATTTTATTTTAAAATAAATACCATATTAAGTAAGTTATTATTTAATGATTATTTTTAATTACTTAATAATTATGGTAAAACATTGAAAGCAGTAATTATGATCCATAA